TTATTTTAATCCAACTTATAAGACATGCCAATACAATCAAAGGTGCCTTCTTTCTCAGGACTTGAGAATTGTACATTTACTTAGGTTTATATACTAAACATGAGCTCTAAACTCCACATTACTTGATTTTCTTGTGTTATATCTTGCTTCTGATTCAATAAATGTGCATCTTGCAGATTTTCGACCTGGTGACCATGAGACGAGAGGATATGGACTTCACTGCAAACTTTGAACTAACACCCAAGTCTCAAAACAGTCCATCAAGCTCTCCCAATACGGCAATTTGGTGCTACGGAGTCGTGCTATGGTTTGATACTGGCTTCACCAGCCGCTCCTGCAAAGAAACGCCCACCATTCTATCAACCTCTCCTTTTGGCCCGAAAACACATTGGTCTCAAACTCTTCTCACATTCAAAGAACCCATTGCCCTTTTGTTGGAAAACTCGCTGCAAAATTCTGAGACTGCCTGAAAATCGGTACTGATGTGGACCCTGCTGTGAAGATCATGGGTCACATAAGCATTGCTAGGGCTTCTCGGCATAAAAGTATTGATGTTTCAATGGAAATCACAGTTGTTGGCCATGATGGTAGGACCCAGACATCTCCTGTTTAGATCTTTAACATGCGATGATGGGGTTGTGTATCAACAGTTCGGGATTTTCCTGGTCATCGGGATCTTGGTTTGGGAGGTGTTGGATCGAGGGATGCGATCACAAAAGGTGGAGGGTGATGATGGTGATGGAGGAGAGTTTGTGATGATGGGTTTGATGGCTAGGCTGGATCTGGTGCTTATGTTTTTCTTCCCATTATTGTTTTGTTCCCTAGAAATTTGAGCAGTTTAATTTTGTTTTGTTATTTTAGCAGCAGGAATGATTTTATTTTATTGAAATAAATGGTTGCACGTATCAAGTGGTGGTTTGGTTTTGATTTTGATTTTATGACTTGTGGGATTTGATTTTGGGGTTTGAATACAAGGAGTGCAGTTAAGGTATTGTGAGAATAAAACAAATCATCGACCTAGCTATTGGATGATGTCTGGTGTCCTTCCTCGAGCAATCCCAGCCGTCCATTGTTGACATCCATAGCCATGGGTAGTCCCCTTTGCTCTGCTTCTTGTGTTCTTGCCCCTCGTACTTGATAATTAAGGGGAGCTCAATGTCTTTGATAGACACTTTTTGTTGAACTACAAAGTAAGTCTTATGATATCTTGGGATATGTTAAAAACGGTGGAATAGACATTATGTTGCGGCATCCGATAAATGGTATTTTTGTATATTTGTATGTTAAACAATGGGAATAGAGGGTGAGATGTTTTGTTGAGGCATCCGTTTACCCTACCAACGATGTCACATTCCTTCTCTCGAAGATGGGCCATTTTATCATAGAAATTCTCAATACTGTACAAGTATACCTGAAATGGTATGAGAGTATTTACATATGGAAAATTGTTTCATGCGGACTGGACCGCATTTCTACAATATGCGGTCCAGTGGTATAAAGTATCAATCTTAAAGATGGATGTAAATGGGTGGTCCATCTAAAAACAAATGTAATTAACGGTCCAAACATTTTTTTAAATAATTATCATTTCTAGTTTCTAATTCTTTTTTTTTTTTAATATTAATGATCTCCATGTTCAAAATTATATATTCTCTTGAAATCAAGATCAAATTATATTTAAAAAATATATTTCTTGTCAAGCCCGTATTTCTACAATATGCGGGTTGGCGGTATAGAAACTGTGTCCTTTACATATTGTACATATAATGCTTCTCATAGTAGAATGACGGACTATTATTTTTACAGTCGATCATAATTAGTTGGAAAAAGACTTTGATGATGATGATGATGTCGTTATGCTTCTCATAGCAAGAAATAGCACTCTCTAACTGTATTGATGGCAACTTGTAGAGGTATCACAATAAAAAGGGATTCTATGAATGCAATAAAATGATGTAAGAGAATGACACCCATCATAGAACTTACACCGCTAAGGAACATAATCCAAGGCTTCAAGGGGTGAGGTTTGTATAAAACGTTCACCTCACAATAGATACTAGTATACTATATAAGTAAAGCACACTTACTTTTTTCAGAAGATGTAGTTCTACTGCTGAGAAGCTTATGATGACTTGAAAATCCATGTTCAACTTCATTATGAAATTTCAAATATAAAAAACAATACAAGTCGGGAAGAGATATAAACACTTGAAGTCTTGAAAATAGACAGTCCATATAACTTGTTATAAGATGCATTACTTTTGATATTTGAATTTCTATTTTTCGCTACATTTATACATCTCAAGGTGATCAATTGGAAGGTTTTCTGACTTTAAAATGCTCTTTTCTAGTGGAATTTTAATTTGAACTTTAATAGGGAGAGAATAATGAGGAAGTTGATATGTGAGCCAAATAAGGTGCTAATCGTCACTTTTCCAAATATATAAATATATGAAAATGTTAAATAAAATAAGGCCAAGGCTTTATTAAAAGAAAGTAAAACCTCGCCTCAAAATCATTGAAAATTATAATTTAAGAGTCATAAGACCTTTGAATCAATCATCTTGATCTTGATCATTCTAGTTGTGAACAAAATTAAGATTTCAATCCCTTAAAATAACATGTATCCACACATTTTGTAAACCATCCATTTCCAAGTGCTTTTTGAGCTACAAATTTCATTTCGGGATTGTATATTATGATACCATTTGTCTTCGGCACAAAGATGTCACAATTGGTACTAGCCATTAGATGTCAAAATTAAATAGCTTGGGGTATATCACAAAGTTCGAGAATTTCATTTTTAAAAGTTTGTCTTGTCCATGACGCATTCACAAGCATCCAATTGATAGACAAGAGTGATCGTAACCTCTTTATATCTTACAAGTAAATGGTCTCTTTGTACACTTTTACATTTTTGTAGAAATATATTTTTGAGCCATTTTAGAGATTTTTTATTCCCAAAATTTTTTCGATGGATAGTGTTGATATTATCTATTAGAATATGGGCATCAGTATTACTCCGAGTAGGGAGCAGGTGTTTTAAAGAAGCGAGAAGAGGTGTTTCATTTCGTAAAAATGTAGCTTTGCTGCTCACTCTTTCTGCATTTCACTCTCTTTCTCTCTCTTTCCTTCTCTCTCTGCATTTCACTCTTTCTCTTTCCTTCTCTCTCTTCACCATGTATGCATTTCGTTGTGCATATCACACTTAATCTCTCATCAACTTATTTCCTTGTGCAGTTCTCTTTCTCCCTTTTATCTCATTTATGTCTCTTTTTCTCATCTCGTTCTATGTATTTTTCGTTTTCCATTTCTATCGAATTCTCTTCCCTTTTCTTGTTCATATTATTTATGCATTTCCTCATACATTTTGCTACCGTAATTTCCTTTTTTTGAAAGTCATTCGTCTCTCTTAATTTCCCTGCTACTTCCTATCTCTCTCATGCATATGGTTGTCAATTTCTCTCCCTTTGTATTTGCACTAATTTTTCTCTCTCTATAATGTGAGATGTCTACATTTAGTTTTTCGTTTTTTCTCTCACTTGATCCCTTTTCTTTGAGTGGCAGCAGTTGCAAGATCTTTCCACAGATACAAAGCAAGAAGCGAAAAAAGATGAGGTATGTGTATATATCAGTTGGGGTGTATGTATATCACCTAATAAAATTATTAAAATAATAATTCGAAAAATATAAATTGACCAAAATACTACCATAAACTTTTAGCGATATTTTGATTAATTTATATTTTGTGAATTATTTTTTTTATATTTTTATTAGATGTGTCTCACTAAGATGTACACACACTCCAAATTTCAAGTAATTTAAATTTGTAGAAAAAAAATAAAAAATAAAAAATGAAATACTACCATACAATTGTGATCATGCAATGAAGTTTGGATAATGATGATGGTAGACGAAATCACTGTTCATTTTTTCTTATAAATGTTACAAAAAGTTTTCTTTTATATATATATATATATATATAATATGAATGTATTGTCATCATTGTTATTATGTAATATACGGAATAAAATATATTATATATATTTATGAGTAAATAAATAATTATAAAATTCCATTTTGGATAAGCAAACTTTTTTGACTTTGAGTACCTATGTGTTGCCCGTTGTTTTTCTTAAACAAAACAAGCTTACGGGTCAGAAAAAATTGCCACACCCATACCCTGCTAGTAATTGCATTGCTCCGAGGCAAGTACATGGAGGACTTCCATTTATTTTAACACTTGGAGAGCTTTCTATGTGGCCGCACCCACGTATACGGTGTACGTTACTTATGGTTGAGATGGCTTGAATCACAATGTTATAAGCTAGCATTTAAGAATATACAACTTATAGTTTTTTATTTTTATTTTTATTTTATAAATAATTTTAAAGTAAAATTTGAAGCTTGCATAGATCTGACAAGGGCATATATGATAAAAATAATAATAAAATATTCATGGTGATATAAAATTATTAGAATACCCCTAAAAATTATAGGGGCATTATGGTCATTTATTTTTCTATAAAATATTTGTTTTTCATTTTTCCAAGTTCTCCCTAATTTTATGACGAGACGCCCAAAATTTCATCCAAAAATATTTTGTAGAAAAAAATTAAAAAATAAAAAAGTGTTTGTAAGGACATTATAATATGAACAATCGTCGCCATTCAATTCAGATCGAACGGCTAAGAAGTAGGGTCACATATAGCTTATATGTTGTTGGGGCCAAATAGAAACATTTCCTTTTATGCTTTATGTTTATCGTTCTTATCCTATTATTTTCGTATTCATGAAGCGTAGTCGGATGCTCTTCAGGACTCATGTGCTTTTAATTCAAACCAGTAGTTTACACTTGCTTCATTTATTTTAGTAAAATTCAAAAAGATTTTAATATATCTTGTAGGTTATGATCCTTATTTTATTTCAATTAACAAAAAACTATATTTAACAAAAATACAATTAATCATATAAGAAACAAAAAAATTCATGATCCTATAAAAAATAAAAAATTCTTTACCACATGCAATGCCATCTAAAGTAGTGTACAAGGCATGACACCAATATACGTTTTGAGTTAACCTTAGTCGCACATCGTGCTCTCCAATCCCACTAATAACTTCGAAAACCTAATTATTTAAAAACAAGTCGAGGATTGTATTCTCCACTAAATTTAATAGCACTTTTAATGAAACAAAACCTGCTTTATCATATTTTGAAAAAGCAAGATCATTATTTTGATAGTATAAGAAATAGAGAGCGGGCCGACCACGTAAGTCTACTTTGGAGAGAGAGGGAGAGCTCCATCTTCCTCAACCCTCATTTCGGAGGCAAATCAAAGTACTCATCCCACTTGTATTCATCCTCACCCTCCCTAACCTCCTCACTACAACACCTCGAACCCCTCCCCTTGCTCCAAACCCACCACACCTTCACCGCCCCATCCATACTCCCACTATAAACAACAAAGCCATCATCATCATCGTCCACCCTTAACCCCACCCCTCTAATCGGGCCGACATGCCCGTTAATCACTGCTAAGCACCGGTGGCCTCCACCCCTCAACCATACGCACACACTTGAATCGGCAGCCCCACTAACCACAATTTTATCCGAAGAAGCCATGCACATAATAGCATGAGTGTGGCCTCTTAAGAAACCAGTGTAACTCATGTGCCCTGATAGCTGCCCCTTTCTCCAATAATGAACATAGCCATCTGAGCAACCGGCATAAACCAAGTAGCGATCGTCGCCCTCGCAACCTAAGACCATGGCCTTCACTGGGGAGTTCTTCACCTACAAATGTTGATAGAAATGATGAGTCATTAGTTGGAGTTTGCAATGAGATTCTAAAAAATGTTGCTGTAAAGAACTTATGGATTGATAATATTCAAACGTGAAAAAAGTTTAAATAGGATCCCATTGAAATGTAAATCCCTTCCCTTCCCTTCCCAAACTCCATATTAGATGGATTTAGGATTTGGAATGTGTTCTAAATTATTCTAGATGCATTTCTTATGTAGGTCCATGTTTTGTAGATAAAAAAAAATAGTACAGATCTGATAATATGTAAAGAACTAAATGAACGGTAGGATTGAGAGTGTTAAAGAGTTATATTAACTATAGGGTTAAGTATACGAACTCATGTGAGAGGCTGTCTGGGTTATTTGGAGAGAGAGAGAGAGAAAGAGAGAGAGAGAAGGAGATTTCCAATAGCATGGGCTGAACACAATCCTCTTCTATTCATCGATAGTCTATAGTGCGAGTTGATTATCACTTTTGCAGAGAATAAAATCCAAGGTCTGGACAAAACAAAGGGAAAGAAAAATATTGCAAAATATTAAAAGAGCAAAACATCAGTATTTACATGTCTCGGCAATTGTCTATATTTAGAGGACACCCAACTTATCTTTCACTAATCAGAAAAATACCATGTAAATATAGAGAACATATGGGTTTCCAATCTCTCTCCTACAGGCTCTTAAACAATATTTCCCTCTCTCTAGAGCACCCATTCAAAGGACTGCAAGAAGTCTCTCTCTATATGTGTGCATACATTGTTTCTCTTTGTATAAAGCTTTTTTATAAATAAGAAAGCCCTAAGAGATAGCCCATTCCTAATCCCCTTTTCTATTCTAATAATTTCCTCAATTTGAGAGTTTAGTTTCCCGTATATATGAACACAAAGATTCACATAATTTAAAGTTAGGAAAACCGAACTACTGGAAAAAATAGTTTTACCGTCAACATTTCCCACTTGAAAACATGTTTCCATTCTGAATAGTCTGCTCTAAAAAATTGTCCAACAATTAGTAATCATCAAATCCCAACATTCCTTAAGGAAGCTTTGTACTAAGTAAACTTCCCCTTCCCAATGAGCTAAGTCACCATACCTACCGCATTATCATCAATATTAATATTTTTGCAATAAATTCTTCCATCTTCTACCACATCATGACTAAATTGATGTTGAACATTATTATTCTTAATTCTATCATGGAAGGTTATATTTCTTTCTAAAAATGATACTTTGATTATCACAAAGAAGCGGTTTCCCTTCTTGTACAACTTGGAACTCACCAAGTAACTATTTAGCCAAATGGCTTATTTCGATGTTTGAGCAAGTGACATCTACCCAGTCTCTATAGAAGACAAAGTCACCACAAACTACCCCTTGATAACTAACTAACTTGACAACCTTCCAAAAAAAGAGCTACCTGGTAGTAGACCTTTTTTTTATTCAAGTCACTTGCAAAATTTGCATTAACATAGCCAGCAAATTTTCCATGTCACTATAATAAACTCCAATATTACAAGTATCCTTCAACAAAGAAGGATCTACCTCAAAAGTAGTCTAGGGATCATGGTCAGGATTTGCCATGCATCTTATCACAACTCCCACTACTTGTGTTATGTTAGGTTTGACGCTAACCATAAGAACTTGAGCCTCCCTACTGCTGATGAACACAACACTCAAGACATTCACGTCTTCTCTACTTTAGTGATAGGAAATTCTTTCAAAGAGTATTTCATATGCATGATAAATTGAGTATGAACTAGTTTAGTATTCTGCACATCAAGGCACCTCAAAACTTTTTCCCCCATAATTCTTTTGAGTTAACCAATTTTTTCTCTTCTTCCTGTCTCTAAGTACACTCTCTCAAAGAATTCGATTAATGGCTACCAAATCTTTCATTTCAAATTTTCTAACCAACCGAGTTTTAAATGTTGCAATATTTTTTCTATTTGGTCCTACAACGATCATGTCATTGACAGACAATAATAAGATATTTTATCATATAGCTACGAAAATAGGCACAACGATCAAGTTCATGTTTCAACCAATACATTGATTCCTTGAGACTACAAATGAAATTTTCTTTACCTTCCTCAGTAAAACCACATGTTGGATTATAAAAATTTATTTTAGTCACTATGTAATAAAGTAATTTTCACATCTACTTGTTTCAACTTTAAATTAAGAAAAAATCCAAAGCCAAAGCAACTCAAAAGGAGTCATGCACATAACAAGAGAGAAAATTTAATCAAAATCAATATTTGGCCTTCTGAGCATAACCTTTCACAATCAATCGAGTTTTGTACCTTTCAATAACACCATTATGACTTTTTTTCTTTTTAAAGACTCATTGACAACCGATTGTCTCACTCTGATGGTAATTAAAAAAGGTCTCATGTTTTATTTTTTCTGCGAGGCCTCCATCTCTTCTTTTATATATGCTCTCTATTGATTGGCTTCGTCAACCTAACATGCCTCATGATAAGAAATCAACTCATTCCCATCCGTTGGGCAAGCATAAGAAAGACATAGTCATTAAGCCTCACATGAACCTTTTTTATGTCTTTCATATCTTCTTAATTCAATACCACTTAAATATCCTTCAAGCCCTTGGATAATTTTAGGCTCATGGTCATAACCACCATCTTGCTGGCTCTCATGGCCTTCAACCTCAAACAAATTTTGCATTTGGCACTTTTTTTTCTTTATGTATGGAATTTTTATTGAAAATAACATCTCAACTAACAATAATCTTGCAGTTAAAAGGATCCCAAAATCTCTATCCCCTTACATCATCTACATAGCTAAGAAAAATATAGTTTTTGTTAGTTCTCCTTTCTTTTAAAATCTAAAAATAGGTATAGCACATAAAAAATACGAATAAATGAAAAATAAACATATACCTGACACTCTCTATAATAATATGATTCATCCTCTCAACAATTCTATTTTGTTGAGGTAACCCAAGAATTGTCAACTACTAGCAATATCATACTCACTATAAAAATTATTAAATTCACTAAAACAAAATTGTCTCACATTATCAATTTTAGACACTTGATGCTATTAGTTTTCTGATATTCTATATTAGCCGTGAACTTTTTGAAACAACTGAAGGAATCTTATTTCTTTTATTAGTATATAAATGTACATTTTTCTTAAAAAATCATCAATAAAAGTTAATAATATATGCATGACCCCTCATAAAGACAATAGTTGATCTACCATGTATCCGAGTGAATCAATTCCAAAAAATCCTTACTTCTAATGGTGGATAAAGCAAAATGCAATTTATTCGGTTTCCCAAGTAAGTATGATTCATAGAAATCTAAATTAAGATATTTTAAACTAAAGAGAATATTTTAATCAAGAAGTACCTTGAGTCCATGCTCAATCATGTGGCCCAAAACACATATGCCATATCAGGATGGAGTTCACCTCTACAATACTAACATCTCCAAAGCTATTTCTCCAACATGTTCGTATAAATTGTATGCTAACTATCTTTTTGCGCTAATTAGTGCTCCTTTTGAAATTTTTAGACATCTATTGCCAGCTATAAACTTGAAACCTTAATCACAAAATTTTCCCCAAGATAAGAAACTCCTTATGAGACCTGGAACATGCTTGACACCCAAAACTATACATGTTTTGGATTATTGCATCTCCAACTCCCATTGCTTTATAAATTAGATGAGTCATTATTTATTATGTAACCAATACCTCTATCACATGGTTAGTATTCATTAAACCAATTGCTACATGGAATCATGTGAAAGGATGCACTTGATTCAAGTAGTCAATATTACAAAACTTCCTCCATATCTATAGACAAAACTTCTCCATCATCAGAAAAAAGTCAATTTCTTCCACTAGATTTTCTTTAGACCTAGTTGAACTAGGTTTCTAATTTGAACCAAATTTAGCGGCTTCCCGATTTCTTTTTGTGCCTTAGAATTTTTCGTCGCATGGCTTAAATTTCTATAGCCTCAATGCTTCACTTTCGCACACTCTCTTGACTTGGATTTGGAATGATCTTGATGCATTTTTATTTTTATGGTTTATTATTTTTTCTCCCTACATCATATTTCATCTTGTAGTTCTCTCCATTGATCTACCTAGTACTACAAATACATTCCCAGATGATTAATGATCAAACTTTTGCCAAGACTCCTTTATAAGAAGTGCTGAAATAATGGAATCAAATTCAAAAGGACTTCGAACTACTGATATTCATGATCAACCCATCCTATGATTATGGCCTAGAACAAAGTAATATGGTTGCTTTATATTCTTCATCAATATTTACATCTAGTGTCATCAACTTACTAATTAGGGCATTAAATTCATTTAAATGCCCTTGCAAAAAGCACTATCACTCTTCTTGAGATTATAAGGTAGCCGACGAAGAAATTTTTTATTAGAAAGATACCTTAGCTTCACAAGCATTTTTCAGCTTGTCCCATAAATCTTTTACTGATTTTTCTAAGGAGACGTTGAATAAAACATATTAACCCATGGTCAAAATAATATCTACCTTGGCTAATTGATCATTCTCACCAAATTTGTCTTCATCCATCTTTGCTGGTTTCCTTTCTTAACTATTTAAAGCTGTTGCACAACCATATTTTAGCAACATTACATGCATCTTCAACTTCCACTTTAAGAAATTTAAACCACTAAATTTTGGGATTTCGTATGTGGTTAAACTTCCTTCAGCCACCTTCAACAATTTGTGATATACTACAAACCTTTGACCCAATAAGGATCTCAAACCCTAGGACTCTTATACCAGTTGTAGTGGATAAAAACTAAGGTATGAGCAAAAAAAATAAAAGAAAAGATAAACAACATAAAAAATTAAAAGAGCAAAATACCAAGATCTATATGGTTCGATGATGGGCTACTTCTACATGGCTGCAAAGTCCCTTTCACTAATCAAAAAAATACCATACAAGCATGGAGAATATAAAGGCCTTCAAATACTCTCCAATAAACCACATTTTCTTTCTCTAAAACACGCGCCCAAAACACTAGAAGAACTCACCCTCTCTCTCTCTCTCTCCACACATTATTTTTCTCTACTAGTTTTTTATGACATACTCACATGAAGCCCATTCATAAGCTCCTTTCCTTTTTTTTATAAGTTTCTTAAATTACAGAATTTAGTTCCCATATAATATGTGCATAAAGAATCACATAACTTCCTTAATGATAGGAAATCCAATGTATGGTTTCACTGCCAAAATTCCCCATTCCCCCTCCCCGCCCCTTCCCCCGGGGTTCTTCCCTCTTCCTTCTCTCTTTTCTCTTCATTTCTCTCCAGTAAAATACACACTTTTCTGTGATCCTGTAGGCCCACAGCTTCAAGGGCAGGTTGATCCCATGATCCTTGAACTCTTTTAAGTCATTTTCTGACATTTCTTATTTTCTCTCACCTTTACTTCTCTCTGTTCGGGTTAAAGGTCACTTCTTGCCTATCAAAACTGCCAGAAAGTATTCTACCTTCTCTTGGACAGGTTTTATGCTTCATCTATTTCAATTAAGTTCCCGATTCATTCTACCTCTAATCTCCATAACTAGATTTTCTTGCATTTTCTCTCTCGTCTTTCTCTGATGTTTCTCTCTCTATCAGGTCTACAATTGCTCGAATACAAACACCAGGGGTGCGATTCAACCATCTTTGACCTGTTTGTTCATCTTCAGAAGAAAATGTCATTATGGGCATATTTGGTTCGTGAAAATCTCTTTTCAAAAAGAGAATTCCTATGATATGGGATTGGAATCTTACCTCCCAATCCCAAAGCATCTGCTGAAACACGACTATTTTGTATAGAAGCATGAACCTTGTGTGCTTCAATACCCGCAGCTTTCCCATGAAACAAACATAAGGAAATGATGGTCCAATAGGAAATATCTTATGCAGGAATTCTTACAAGTGCCTTCCTTCTTCTTGGTACTACATCTAAATACTGAGGAATCAGGATTCCTTTGGAAATGAAAACCCTAACAATGGAGACCATGAACTCTAGGACAATCCAAACCAGTCTCGCAACATCAATAGCATGATTCTAACAATATGGGTTTAGAGGAACGTCTCATTTTGTTAACCAAAAATGTGGGGGTTTTTGTTAAGACTTGAGAAGAAAGTAAATGTTAGAGTATCATTGTCACTGCCAATGTTAGGAGTCTCTTGTAAAGCTGGTTATGCTCTAGGGAGAGATGTAAACCTCCCTATATTTTGCTAGGAGTCTTAGTAAATTATATTGGTGGTAGTAAAAGGGTTAGGAATTTCTTGTTAACGCCTGCTTATGAGTTGGGGGTTCAGATAAAATCCCCTTACATTTTTTGATAGGGCTACTGTAGCAGTAAAGAACTTGAACCTCACCTTTACTTAGGTCACGTTTGGTACGCCGGAAAATATTTTCATATAAAAGAACTCCCCTATGTGATTAGATGTGGGAGCATAATTCACACCAATGGGTCTCAACGCATTTTTTTCGCACAAGTTGACAGCCAATTGGTATTAAAAAAACTCTCACACCCAATCACACAAGAGAAGTTTTTTCATGTGAAAATACTTTCACGAAAATATTTTTATAAGTACCAAACATGCCCTTAGTATTTTCTTTTATGTAGTTGTCTTATTTAATTACAAAGTTTGAAAACCATGATTTCGGGTATGTTTGATTTGTGTGAAATCTTTGTCTGAGACGAGATTTTGTACATAATGGCAAATTCCCCTCATTCATCCTAAATTATGGAGCCAATTTTTCATAAAACACACGACGGCCACCGTAAACATCAAGATTTTCGTATTTGCTACTTTTCTATGTAACAAACATAGGAAATCATATATACCCCTAGATAGATAAAAGTCCAACGGGTGCTTTGGCTAGTATGATCCAAAGTAAAACTCAAGTATGATCTTGAACCGATCATATACCCCTAGATGGATAAAAGTCTAACCGGTGCTTTAGCTAGTATGATCCAAAGTAAAACTCAGGTATGATCTTGAACCAATCATATACCCCTAAATAGATAAAAGTCCAAGTGGTGCCTTGACTAGTATGATCCAAAGTAAAAATCAGGTTTCATTAAAAACCGGTCAAAACCAACGTTTGATTAATTTTGATTATTCGGATCAACCAGTTTTTAACTAGTTTAACCAACTAAATAATATTGAATAAATTTTTAACATATTTTATATTTTTAAATATAATTACTTTTACCTTTTTTCTAAAATCCAATCCAACAATTTGATCAAACTGATTTTGACAAAACCAAATCTCCAATTCAATCCAAAATTCCAAATACCAAAGACTCCGAAAATGACCCACCACCCGAAGGGAAAAACCGGCAAATCCAACAATGTATGTAACTCCTTTTTGGGGCACGATTGCTTTTCGCAATCTCATCATCACTGTACATCTGCAAGGGTGATGTAACCGCGACCATATCTCAAGACCATAGGGTGATTTAACCACAACTATGTGATGTGTCTAGGGTTGAAAAAAGGAGGCACTTTTGAGTGTGGAGAGGGTTTGTACCTGCACTTTTTGTCGGGCTACACATATAGCACTGCTTTTCATTGCTTAAACCTTGAGCTGAGAAGAGCTATTTGACGTGAATCCAGCTTGAGTGTTCGGCCGGTTCACCTTGGAACGGGCCGGTTAAATGGCAGTTTTGTGTTTTGGCTAGTTTTGGCGGTCGGACTTAGTATTTTAAAGCACCATTAATAAAAACTTTAAAAAATAAATGTTTTGGTTTTTTAATTCCGTTTGGATGTGCTTTAATATAATTTTCATATTTTTATAATTTTTATGTATTTTTATATTTGTTTATTTTTTTTAACATTTTTTTTGCACCCGTAGGGACTTTACAGATTAAGCTGATTTACTCGAAATTTGGCCTTTAGCCAACAGTTCAATTTTTCGAACACCGTTGGCAATGAACATAGCCAACCTTGGCCCTAGCCGGCTTTTGTTCAACCAAGCTTTAGTACCCATATGGAATCGAAAAGAGCCGGGCCGAAAAGGTGCCCCTAGCCTGGCCTCAGGCCATACTTTATGGCCTAGGCCCTACTTTTTTAGTGCCAGGCCGGGCCTGACCGGTCAGCCCATTGCCGGCCCTCCCAGCCAACATGATGCAATGCTCAAGCTACTCTGCCAAGTTCCATGATCAACTTAAGAAAACTTCACCTCCATAGAAGATGCAAAGTGAAGACAAAGCATTAAGGAAAGAGCTAGAGCTAATTCAGAGAGAAATTATGGACAATTATGCAAAATGAGCACCAAAACCATACGACCCAGTTTATTTAGAGAACATAAAAGAGTTTGTGAGAGAGACCCAGTTCAATTTTCATGATCGTGAAAGAGAGCTGTTAGTTAGAGAGAGAGAGTGCATAGTTAGAGAGAGAGACTGACCTGCAAATTGAGAACCAGGCTATGTGTACACCCGGCGCTCAGACTCTTCCTCCAAACCTTAACAGCCGTATCATCCGACCCGGTAAACAGCAACCCATCGGCTCCAACCACCAAAGCATTCACGGCATCTCGGTGCGCTCGTATCGTCTCCACGCATTTCATCTCTCTCAGACTCCAAACCTTGACAGTCCCATCCTTTGAGCTCGAATAAAGCACTTTAATTGCTGAATTGTAAGCCAAACAAGTTATAGTACCCAAATGCTTCACAGTACTTTTATTCTCCCTTGAAAACAAGGACTTGGGGTAGTTCCGGCAGGCATCGAGAATCCGGTCTCGGAAACAGGGCAAAGTCCCTGTTCTGAAGTGCAAAATACCAGAGCCATCAATGCTCCATGTCCTAATCTTGTGATCAGAATGAGCAGAGAAAACCAACTTGTCATCTGATGAAACAATAATTGAGGTTACAAAACCACTTCCAGATTTGAGTCGCGTGTGTTCGACGAATTCGGGTAGTTTCCAAACTGTTATGGATTTAGAATTCGAGCCTGCGTAAATTAGGCCATTTTCAGTCACAGCTAGGGAGAGAATTTCCCCCGACGGTTTTTGCGCAGAGGCCAAGCAGCGGTAGCAGCAGGACTCAGTGCCATGGTCGGTGGGCTCGACGGTTTGGAACCACGGGCTCGAGAGGATGTTTCCTGGAGACGAGCATGGGGAGATTAGTGGGCTTTGGTAGGTGCGGTCATCAGGTTCCGGACATGAGAAATGGTTCTCAGCCATGGCTCAATGGGTTCGCACCATGGGATCGCCTCTCCCCTCTCTCTCTCTCTCTCTTGGTTTTACCCCTCTTCTTCCTCTCTCTGATTGAATTCCCTTAGCTGTCTCCCTCTGTGTTTCTTTCTCTTCGACAGTCGAAAATGGAAAGCTGAAATCAGATGAAAGGCAAGTGGAGTCGTTTTTCTCTGTTTTGAGAGCTGTGGCCTAACTGTATCTAATGTTTTAGAGAGAGAAAGCTGGACGATAAGGTATCGAACAGGCAGGGAGGGGAATATCAGCGGAAATGGCGATGTGTTATGAGATTCAAAAATTGGAAGATTTCGAATTATGGTTTTTTTAAGAGAGAGAAACAGTGAATGCATTGCATACCAAGAGGAGAGAGAAAGCATATCGTCCTTATGTTACAAGGTTTTTGCAGGGGAAGGGAAGGGAAGGGGGGAATGTGTAGAGAGAGAGAGAAAGAGTGAGGAGAGAGAAAGCATATCTTTCTTTCTTATGAATCTGCACGGGAAGGGAAAGGGAGAGAGAGAGAGAGAGAGAGAGAGAGAGTGC